TCTCCTGTATGCCAGTTGTGTGTTTTCCTAAGCTAATGTCTCCATGTTGATCTAGGCACTGAAAAAAAAAAATCAACAAAATAGGAAAATAATATTGCTATTAAAAGAAAAATAATCCTTTCCATTACACTGCCTCCCATATGTTTTAATGATAATGCATTTCTCTGAAATCCTCTCAAAACCCAGTTCAGTATGTGGATCCCTTCAGTCACAATTTTTTTAATGTCTTTTTATGTACCTAAAGACAAATTCAGAAATTGAGATTTTTATAACTATGCCGTTACACTGACATGTTTTCCTTACTGTGTCTGCCTGACTAGAGGAATAAAACTATTGGGCATAATATATTTGTCCTGTGGTTTGGGGTCTTGATTTTAAACAGAGAATTAGGCCAGTTAAAGTAAAATGATTTTTCATTGTGCTTAGACTAAAACTAAGACTAATTTTGGTCTCTGTTGATTTTTGTAGAGGTATTCAAGTTTTGAAGACTACGAACTGCTATTGGGCATCTGTCAGGTTTTTAGACCAGAGTGATGTCAAACCTCTCAGAAATGTAGATGAACATTTTCTGGTGATGATTCTTACATATCCCCCAGAGAAGCTCCACAGGCTTTGGAAATCTATGGTTAGCAGGTACTTTTAAGTGAATCCAGGGGTATGAAGCTGCTACAGAGGGGCTGGATTGCCCGTGCAGGACTCTGAGCTTGCCTGGTTCTTTGGCCCAGCTTGTGGTGCTGAAGCTCTGCAGTGTCAGGGACCAAACAGGAGAGCAGAGCTCAGCCTGTGGTGCTCAGGCAGGAGAGGAGCAGGGGTGCACAGTGGGATGAGGCTGGGCTGGACATGGCTGGTGTCCCGTCACCTCCACAGGAGAGGAGAGCAGCTCCCAGAGACCACGCAGGGGTGCACAGTGGGATGAGGCTGGGCTGGACATGGCTGGTGTCCCGTCACCTCCCCAGTGAGAGAGCCCGTGTTCTGTGGTGTTCATGCTGGGTTAGGAGCTGAGCCTGGAGGCTGTTCTCCCAGAAACATGAGCAGAACCTTGTCCTTCTGTGCTCTGAAGGAGACTGCATTTGAGATCTGCCCTTCCTTCAGGGTGAACTCCTGGCTCCTATAAAGCCAGTGTTAGAATTGGATTTGGCAGAGCTGGGATTTTTGTTCCTGGGGTTTACCAGCTCTCTGCACGGCAATAATCTTGCCAGGGGACAGTTTATCTCTAAGGAAGGCTTTTATTCTTTCACATAATCTACAAAGACATCTGTAATTATTGCTGGTAACTAAGGCAACCCAACTTTACAGTGGATACATGCGGGCAGCAGAGCAGTGGGGTATGGGTTTTTAAAGTACCTTTCTGTCAGCTGGGTGGTGGCCACACTTGGGCAGGAGCAGGGCTGTGAACCCTGGCAATGTGAGCCCAGCTCTGCTAGGGGGTCCTGGAGAGGAGGAACATGGTGTCAACAGGGTAGTGATTAGCTTCACTGGCTTAATTGGGGACTCTCAAATAGGGGTTCATTTGTTCTGCTTGGGGACATCACTGAAAGGCCACGCAGGAGGGGGCAGTGGGGTTGGCACAGTCTGAAACTAAGAGCCTCTCTGCTCATTTTAGGAGCATCCTGCTGTGCCTGTAAAGAGGATGTTCATCTGGCCCAGGGAAATTAAATCATTTGTCCATTCACTGAGTGCACGGCCTCGGATAGCCCAGGAATAGAACAAATTGCTCCTGGCAGCTGGCTCACGAGTGCTGCTGCTGTAGTAGGACATCAGCTTGGCAAACGTGGGGGCAATGCCCCTGTGGTCACGGGGTGCAGGGGCTCTAGCATCTCCAGTTGGTCTTGGCTGGGGTCTTTGATCAGAGGACCCTATTCCTCCTTTGCTTTAATCCATTAAAATAAAAACAGTGTAATAAATGTAGTAATTTTTATTCTTGTGGGGGGACAAATCTCAGAAAAGGCTGTGAAGTGTAATGGTTTGGTCTTCTCAGGGGCAGCTTTTGCTTTCTGTCAGGGTGCATTTGCTTGGAGCATTCAGGTTCTTGCATTTTTATGTTGGAAATGTGTCAGTGATCTCTGAGAGTATGTGCATGGAAGTGTAAAATATCTCTCCCAGATAAAATCATCCTCTGTCTGTTGCTGGAACACAATTCTATGGTAGCTGAGTCAGTCTTAGAGATGAGTTAAAGGCTCTTAGCCATTAATTCTTCAAATATGTTTTTTTGATATGAGTCACTTGGAAAAAAACTTTAAATAGCATATCTTGATCTTTTTTGAAATAAGTTTTTTAACCAGACAATCTGCAGTATTTTCTCATGGCAAACCTTTGGCAAATTCTGAAATCTGCCCCTTTTAATTAAGCTGAGGACGTCTCCTAGAGGTTTTTAAAAAAACTTATCTTTCCTGCTTTTTAGGAAGAGCTGATTGATCTTCTTCCAAAATCCTGAAGCAAGTTTTTTTGCTTTTAAAATACATAGACTAATGTTGGTGTAGTTGAGGCTTTATGAAAGCTTGACATTTGACCTGACATTTACTTTGGTGTTCAGTGAAACTTGCTGTGTACTTTGAGCTGTATCTTTTGCCAGCAGAAAAGTTTGAACATCTTTGGTCTCTGGCACTGGAGAGCTAATAAACAAATCTCAGCAGGGCGCTTGTTCTTATTAAAGAGCCCCTATGGTTTCTGTGTGCATGGCTTGGTTTTGGGTCTGTGAGGTGTCTGTGAGGCTGCCCAGGGCAGTGTCCTGTGGTGATCCAGCGGTCCGGCCCCTGGAGCAGTGGGAGTGGCTCTCCTTGACTCTCCCTTTTGGTTTCACTTTCTTTTTAATTATTTTTTTCTTTTTTGTTTACTTTGCTTACTTCCTGTACGTGTTCCAGCTTTGGAGCCTGAAAGCTCCATCAAGTCACTTGCACTTCCAGAGCCTTTTTTCCCCTTCTTGGCTCAATGGTGCCACACGGGCAAGTTTAGCTGTTTAAAAATCAAGGGTTTATGCTGGGGTGATGAAAGCTGTGGTCACCTGGCCTAAAGTTTCAATGAGGGCTTTTGATGGACACAGTGCTGAGGCTTAGCTGGATTTGGCTGTGTCCCTGGAGCAAGGAGCTTCTTCACTGGAGTGTGCAGAGCTGGGGAAGAGCCAAGTGCCAGCACAGCTCCATGAACACCTCTGGCAGTTCATGTGGCAGAGAAAGAGTTCAGTGTTCCTCAGGGATAGAAAAGCTGTTTGTGTGGTTGCCTGGTACCAGTCCCTTGAATACTGAACACTTAACATAAGGTATTCTCCTTTCTGATTTTTTTTCTTTTACTCCACTCATACTAAGCTAATTGGATGATGGCTGTAACGGAGTTTGGGAAGTTGTCTCCCTCACTGGGACATGTGCTGAGTGATGTTCTGCTCAGCCTTGTGGCTTCAGTTATGACTGAAAATATTTCACTCGCTCAGCAAAGTGAAAGAATTGGACTTGGCTGGTTTTTGGCATTAACCTTTGTCTCAGGCACAAAGCTGGAGGCTGCTCAGTATGCAGGCATGGATTTGAGCTGTGTGCAGCTTGGCTGCTGCTCAGCCTCTTGCTTCTCCAGGAAGGAGAGTGCAGCCCACCAAAGACTGTTGTGGGGGCAGAGAGCTTTGTGTGGTGTCAAGGGACACAGTGGTGGTGACAGCCACTGGTCAGGAGCAGACAGGATGTAATGTTAGCCAGGGCTTCACACTGTCAGGGTTGTAAATAGTGAATGATGTGTTTTTCAAAGGGATAGTCAGTGTGTGTAAGTGTGCTTGTATATAGATATATATGTGCATGCCTACACACCTTGACAGGAGCTACCAGGGTGTTCTGGGAAGGATCCTTCCACACTTCCCTGCTCTGTGCCCTTCTTCAGACATCTCCTTCTGATCACCAGAGAGCCAGGATACTGCCTTGTCCAGACTGCTGGTTTAGCCCAATTCAGTCTTTTTAATCATGGCAGCCCAACTCAGAAAGGTGGTAGGGACGAGGGGACAAAGGTGAAGGAGACTGGAAGGAAAAGCTCTGAGAAGGTCTCCAGTCAGGCACATGGGGCAATGGAGTTGGCAACTTGGAGTTGCTGTTCTCTTGGAGTTGGCTTTAGATGCAGACAACCCTCCTTGACTTGTCTTGTTTGCCTTTGCCTGCCAGGGTTTGAGGAGTGAGCCATGGACTGAACAGAACAGGGACCTGCCTCAAAGAGCTGCTCCTTTCTCAGGTGGGAGCCTTTAGCTCCGAGTGATTTCACAGGCTTTCGGATCAGGGAGCTGGAGATATTGACCCGCTGTCAGTTGTGTGTACAGAGCCAATGCTCCCAACAGAGTAATGAGGACACGTGTGTGCCTTAGGCACCTGTTGGCCTGCTTAAACACAGCACATAGCTGAGTGCCTCTGGTTTGACATTACCTATGGAGCTGGTGGTTCTGGTAGGAAGCTTTAATAATTCATTCCATATGTTTCAGTGGCAATAAATAGACAATGTCTGAAATGGAAAGCAGCTTCAGTAAAGCTTTGAAAGCTGTGCAGGGAGATTTAATAGCCCTTTTCTACTTGCCTCTAAAGAAGATACAAGTCAGGTATTGTGTGCTTGCCTTTTTCAGATGGGACATTGAAGGCTAAACTTCTTTTTCTCGGTATGAATGTTGAAAAAATCCATGGTACTCTTATAGTTCCCAGTGCTGAAGTCTATTTCTATTCAGTGAGGCAATTATGTTCTGGCTTGAATTTCAACTTATACTGCTTTCCTGGCCTGGAGCCTGTAAGACTGGGCTTTGTCCTCAGGTGTTTGGCACTTCTTTCTTTTCTTCCCTGCTGGCTGAAATGTGGGCTGAGTTGGCTTTCAACATCCATGCAGAAGTAGCTGCATTTTTTGATGTGCTTCATGTGAAGAACCTAAACTGACTGACTGACTTGTGAGTAGCTCCATGCTTAATACCCTGTGCTGCAGTTTTAGGATGCTTGTTTTTTAAACTGCCATTGAATCAAACTTTCTGCTCCTTTTTTTGTCCCTGTTTTCAGCATTAAGCAGAGTTCCCGTTCCTCTGAGGCAGCTGAAGATGAAAAGGACCAGCGTACAGTGACAGTCAATCCCTCCCACATGAGAAAGGCTTTCAAGGTCATGAATGAATTACGGAGGTACACTTTTGACTTACTGGGCACCCTCTCTGGTTTAGCAGAATTATGCTGATTGAGAGATGTATAAAATAGTCTATGCCCTTTTTGTTACAGCTAATGGTTGCATGTAGAGGATTAATCACAGATAGGAAACTAAAATATAGTCCTTTTGTGGTGGGCTGCTCTCGCCAGTCTCAGACCTCTGTCTTCCCAAAAACATTATCTGAGCCGTGGCCTTCATTTATAGGTGATAATTCATTTAGTCTTTTCCATTACTTTCAGCAAATTCAGCTGTAAACTACGTTCTTAACTGAGATAAGGGTCTGAAACCCAGTAATAGAACATTACAGACATTAAGACACCTACACATAATTACAGACCAAAGATTATTAATGTACTGTTCTTAGTCTCTTTAACTTGCATTATCACTCAGTCTGGGCTCAGTACTCCAAAGTAAGGGGTGGAAAAAAAAGCAAGTACTCAGGAAGAATGTCAGCTCTCTTCTTGCAAATTGAAAAATCCTCATATTATTTAAAAGAGAACACCTTGGTCTTTACACAGCTGTGTGGGTACAGGGAGAACAGAGTCTGAAAAAAATATCTGTGAACGCAGCCTTGAAAACTGCTGTCATCACATCAGCAAAGCAGTGGCAGTGGTTCAGCCTGAATTGTTTCTTGGTGGCTGTTATCCCACTAACCAGTCAGAAGTTCAGTGAGCATTTCTCTGACTAATTCATTAGACTTTTCACCCTTGTAGTTTTAAAAAGAATTCTTATGTAAAGTGTGTGTGTCACACACATGAATGTATGTGCTCCCTAACTGCTGAGGCGATGTGATGAAAGCAGGTAACACCCTTTGCTTTTCTGCACACTCCAAGTAATCAAAAGAGGCTGTAATAGCTAACTCTCCATGGATTAAGTAGTTTTCTAATACACACTTCTCTAGTGTGGAGAAGGATTGAAAATGTTTCCTTCCACAGATATCTGACAGTGAGTCTCTGTTGCATAGGAACAAAATGGAAATATTGTAACTATTATATGAAGCAGGCTATGTTGTAAATTTTTTTTTTTTTTTTTTTTTTTTTTTTTACACATTTATCTGGCATCCTTCTGGTCCTTTCTTTGTACTGAAAGCAAAGGATCCGAAACTAAAGTTTTGTGCAGCTATATTGAGAAATCTATTGTGCTGCTATTATTCCTTTGTTAATTGAAGCACAGTGGGAATAACTAGAGACAGACAATACTTCTTAGTGCCTGTGGTTAGGTATCTTGGGCAATACTGAACAGATAAAATAGAGAAGAATGAAAGCTGCCATTAAGCACCTGCATGATGTTTTCATCTTCTGGGTGCTGGTTTTTTGGTTTTTTTTTTTTTTTTTTTTTTTGGCTGGAATTGCTGTTGTGGAATGTACAGTTTTTACATCTCTTGAATGTGCACTGAGCTTGGGATCTGTTAAGCTCTCAGCAATCAGTGTCAACAGATGCCTTGAATAATAAGTTTCTCCCTTCACATGCATCCAGAAATCTCATAGAGGTCTAGAAAAATCATGCTAAGCCTTTAGCCTATATACTATACTACATAGAATCATGGAATTGTTTAGGTTGGAAAAGACCTCTAAGATCAATGAGTCCAACCCTTAACCCAGCACTGCTGCTAAACCATGTCCCTTAGGCTTTTAGTTGGCAAATGTAGATGAAACTAATTTTATGAGTGATACTTTAGATTACTATAGCCCAAAATGGAATTGAACAGAGCATCTTTTACATAAGCTAAAAGAAATGAGGAAGCTTCCATTAAGAGGCTCTTAAAGGGTTCCCCTCATTGCCCTTCCCCCTTCCAAACTAGAATGAATGTAGAGTACAGACTGCCAGTTCCTACTTTCTTCTGTTTTCCAACTATAGCCCTCCATTTCACAGCTGTTTTTTAATATTTCAATATGTGGAGAAGAAGACACATAGCTGGTCCATTAGAAGCTCTGTGTATGTTTGTTTGATAATGCAGTTTCCTAAAGACAAAGTTCAGTGTGGAGATAAGTATTTCCAAAGAGAAGGCAACATCTAGATTTACAGGCACTGATCCTTTTTTGGGCTTGACATTTGAAAAGAACACCCTTAGTTTGCATTTGTATGCTTAAGCATCTTAAACCAACTTATTGGGAGGCTGAGCACTTCTTGCTGTCGGCATCTGCGAAGCTCTGTGCAAACATTAACTAATGAATCCTCAAAGGACATACGTGGGGTGAGCAGAAAAGGTCACTCCTTAATGAAGTGACTTTTCCAAAGCTCTACAATGAGTCAGTGGGGGAGCTTACGAGGTTGGTTTTTTTTTTTGGTTTCTGTCTGGAACCCCATTCTTTATCCCAGTGACTCTTAATCCCAGACTAATTCATGAGGTAAATGAAGTCCTCAGGCCCATGGATGAACTCCAGTGACTGATACCTCTGCTCTGGCAGAGGCTGAGGCAGCCTCTGCACCTACCAGTGCCAGGACATATTTTGGTGGCCACTTTCCTTTGTGACAAGCCTGGAAGGGTGTGAAATCACTTCATTTTCCACTGCACCTTTTTCCTGTGGAAAGACGGAAGTGATGCTGATGTTCCCTTGCATGGCTATTTCTTGTCTTACAGATCTACTAGAGCCTGGACCCAGGTAATGCCCAAATCTTTAAGCTCGTCTGTGCCTCCTCCAAGCCCTGCTTGTTTGAGGGATGAAGGAGCTGCTTGTCCTTTGTTCTTTGAGCAGCATGTATGCCTAGTTTGGCTTTCAGGTTTTTTTTCCCTGGGGAAGGCAGAAGCACAGGCAGAGCTGCAGCCTCAGGAGGATTCAGGCTTTGCTTTGTAGGCAAACAAGTGATAGGAGCTGGTACTGGAGCATTAGAGAACCTTCCCCTGGGATTTGGGAGAAGCTCAGGTGCTGTGTCTGTAATGGTGGGTCTTCCACTTCTTTGGGCTGTAGTGATGTAGCTTTTTGCCTGACAGGGAATTCTGAAATGATCTTTGTGTTTTCTGGTGTTTCCCCAGCAAGCGGCTCCTGTGTGATGTGGTGATTGTGGCCGAAACCGTGGAGATGGAAGCTCACCGGGTGGTGCTGGCAGCCTGCAGCCCTTATTTTTGTGCCATGTTTACAGGTACTGCTTGTGACCCCAGACAGCCATTGCTGTCCCCAGCCCTCGGGCTGTGTCTCTGTCAGGAGCTGCAGCACAGGCAGGAGAGGGTTTGAAAAGAGAGATGGGTCTGCAGTTTGCTGTACTTGATGGGTGATGCTGGTCACCCTTGACTAATTCCTGTGGGGTGAGTAGATAGCATGTGTAGATAGTAGATAGCACTGTGAGGTTACTGTGGAGTTTGTTTCACTGCTTTATGTGTTACTAACAAGACCTTGGATCATGAATACATTACCATAAAGCACGTGTTCAGTGCCCTAAATGTTCATGGTGCACATCAAAGAAGTTGCTGGCACAGGAGTTGTAGTTTCAAGGCTCAGTCCTGCCGATACTGATTTGGCAGTCACAGATGTTTAATCTCCCATGGCACTTTTTTCTGCTGCCTGAAATAACACTGTTGTTCTCTTGATCCCAGTGTGTTTTAGCAGCCCAGCTTTTTAACAGGGTGAGTTGCTACAGGCCAGTGTATTTTGGTAATGGCAGAAAGGAAGAAGAGGACAAAATTCCTGCTCTGATCACCTGATTCCTGGAGCAGGTGCCCTTCAAAGGCTGTGCCCAGATGGGTCAGCAAAAAAAAAAAAACCCAAAGAAAGCTAGGTCAGTCCTGAAGGAGAGGAGTGAGCAGCTTACTTAAGTCATTCTAGTAAAATTAGTGTGGTCAGAAACTCCTGAGCTTCCTTCCCCTTCTTTGCCTTCATTTTCAGGATAGGAACTGACAAATACAAAAAATATATATTGTACAGGGAATGGTTTTTACTGCCTCTGAGCTCCAACAAAAATGAGGTTCATGGATTTTTTTCCCTGTTTCATGTTCATTTTCTTGTGGTCTGGGCCTTGTTTCTTCCTTTTAAAAGCCTTGAGATTAGACCTAGTTTAATTCGTTTTGCTGGAAGCAGAGTGCAGCATTTCTCAGGAAAAAGCTTGTTGTTAGTGAAGCTTTTTTCCCTTCTGTGATGGAGGTGGGGAGAAAACCTCAGGTGTAAAATGTGAGGTGAGAGGTGACACTCCCCATGGTGGCTTTATCAGTGTGGTGAGCTAAGGTGGGGAGCATTTGTGTTTTCTGGGGTGTTGCACTCTGCAGCTGCTACTGGCTGCATGGTGAGGCAGAGGAGCAAACACTGCTCAGAAGCAGCTCTCTGTGAGGGCACCTCGAGCACAGCTTGTGATGCTTGTTCCTGATGAAGAGTTTAATAAAGAAAAACCCTTGGAAAAACCCTCTGATCCTTAGAGGTCATCTGAGTGGGAAGGTGGTGGTGCAGGGCTGCTCATGTTTCCATGCAGGAGTTCTCTGGGCCGTGTAATCCCTCACTCTGTGAGTTAAACAGTAATCAGCTAACCCATCATGTGGCTGGCTCCAGAGCTCCCCTGGGCTGGGTGACAGCCTCCACAGCCGCCTGTCCCCTCCCCCTGACAAGTCCCCGGGGGCAGAGGGTCAGCCAAAGACCAGCTCTCCCTTTGCTTTCAGTCTAGCTATCCCTGAATTCCCAAGGTCTGGATCTCTTGTGAAGACAGTGTGTGATCTTCCTTCCTTCACTCCCTGCAAGGGCACAGTTTAAAATCACACCTTCAGCACCAGCTGGGTGTTGTAACTTGGTTTTTTTTTGCACTGCACAGCAGTGATAGGGCCAAGAGCTCAGGTTCAGCTGCACTGTGGGGGTATTTGCAGGAGCTGCTTGTGCACACTGAATTCCCACTGGAGGGGTCCCCCAGCAATGAGTATGGACGGATCAGTGTGGAGCTGTGAGCAGTGGGAGCCAACTGGGACCCTAAGCTCATCCACCTTTGCCCAGCACTTGCTCTGCAGGCTCTGTCACTGTCAGCTGGCCCTGACTTTGGAGCCATGAATGACCTTGTGATCACCTTGGGGTCTTTCCTAAGCCATGGGTGTCCTCTGGTTAGCCATTCCTCTCTGAAGTATTCCTGGAAAGTCTGAAATTGGGTAGGCACATTTTCCATTTGTAACTTCCACTGCTGAAGGAGAGATGGGACCAGCACTTCCAGAGTGGCCCTTTCCATGCTGGCTTTCTGGAGCATTTTGGGTGCTGGTCCTTGTTGGCACTATTCTGTGGGGATGATTTGGGACAGTAATGTCTGTCCATTTAGAAGAAAATACAATCATTTTAGAAAGGGTAACAAATACCTGAGTGACACTGCTAGGACTGCTCCTGTCAGATACCTTAGGAATTTTGGAAATGCTGAAGGAGGAAGCAGAAATCTCCCTTGCAGGTCTTACGTGCTGCTTCAAAGCACTGAACCCATGTGTGAGAGGCTGTGCTTTTGTTATCCAGTGCACTCACATGCTCCCTCAGCACATCTGTGACTTAGGAAACAGCCAAAGCTGTGGTTCTGCACTGGGAAATGCAATGTGTAGGAGCAGGGCAGGCTGCTGTGCTGGGTAAACACTGCACCGTGGGCTGCTGCAGTTTGGAGTGTGGTTCATCTTGTGACAACACAGAGCTCTCCTCTCTTCTTGCCCTGATGAGCAGAGTGGCATGGAAAAGGCACTGCTGGGTGTTGAGTGCTGTACTGTAGTGCAGGAAAGGAATGCTTCCATGGGGGGCTGATGTCTGCTAAGTCTGTCCCCTACAGAGGTCTGCTCAAAGCCACCCTGCCTGTTTTGCCTGCCTTTGCTCCCTCTCACCTCGTCCCCTGTGTCTGCCTGGCTGCAGGGACAGGGTCTGTGCAGTGCCTCCTGCAAGGCAGCCCTTTCTCATGTGTGGGAGATGCTAGTGATTGGAATAATTCTGTAATTAGGTATCAGGTAGGGCTGGAGTCTGACTTATGAAAGACACCCTAGGAGTTGTGTTTTGTGGGGTTTAAGGTATAGGTTTTTTCTGAAGAGATGTGAGTTGAGAAGCCCTCAGCTGCCCACAGGCTGCTCCAGAGGCTTGCCCCAGGTCTGTTGCCTGCTCCTGGTCTGCACCAACCCCTGCCTTGGTTCCCTTGTGGTGTCTCCAGGCTCTTCCCTATTCCACAGCACTGGAGATTTGTCCACCTGTGACACGTGGGAGGGACTGGATGACTCTGAGTCGGATCCTGCCCAACGGTGGGCACAGCACACGAGACCCTCGCGGGGCTGCCTGGGCTGGTCCTGCAGCAGAGCCAGAGGAGCCTGTTGGTATGCAGGGCTGGCAGCTTGATGGTGGGTGGGGAAACCCACACAGCTTTTATTTTTGTTGCTTGTGTCACATGGATGCCACCACGCCAGATGATGTTACCAGATTGGTCCCTGCAGGCTATTTCTGCATCCATCTCTGGGTGTGTGTGGCCGAGCCCCTCCCCACAGCTGCAGGGGTCCTGCAGGGTCCCATTCACCCTCCCAGTGCAGGGGGATTCACTGGGTGCTCCTTACAGGCACCTTCAGCACCACTGGGCTGATGGGGGGTGCTCTGTCCGCAGAAGCACACTTTCATCTCTGGAGATGTTTGGGGATTTTGTTAGGGGGAGGAAGTGTGTGAAGATGACATTTTGTCAATTAAAAAGTCCTACCTGCTTTGAAGGCCTTCCAAATGTAGGTAATTTATCCCTTTGTACTGGTACATTTGTATTCATGAGCTTCTCTGAATGACATTTTATTATTCAATTTTAAAAATTGAATTTGGGGCAAATATTATTTCAGTTCTTGGGACGTTGTTGACTGTTCTAACACTCATGGTCCCACCCCACTCCTTTTATTTACCTCCTTATTCACACAGGGAAAGTCAGCAAAGTTCAATTAGCAGGATCCAGGTTTTGCTCAAGCTTGGGCCCTCTTTAGCATCTGAGTCTGTGCTGTGCACTTACTGTGCCTGGCCACGTCCTGTGGAATGCTGCACAGAGATGTAGGCTGTAATTACTTCTATAGGCTGCAGGAAATATTTTTCCACTTAATCCCACAAGCAGTACTGAGTCACCGGATTTCTGAGAGTAGTGATTATTCATGCCCAGGTTTAAGAATTGACATTTCTTTATGCTCTCCTTTGTTTAGCTTTGTTTTTCCACCTATCATTTTCTTTCCGCTTGGGAGTTTGTTCTTTCTTTTCTGTGGAGATCCTGGTGATTAACTCCTGGGTGAGGCCGGCATGTGTGGGGATGCTGGAAGGGCCATGGGGAGTCCTTTCTCTCCCCACTGGATGTTTTTGTTCCTCTGATGTGCTCCTGTTGCACGGGGGGTGTGGAGGTGTGCATAAAGCTCTGGGTCATGAATAGGCTCTTACACAGCTACGGGGCTTTACTTGTGTATTCAGGGAAGAAATTACTGCTCTAGTTCCACGTGCTTTTGAGTTATGTGTTTGGGGAAGGGATGCAGTTTGGATCCAGAGGTGTGAGGTTGGGAAGGTGAGAGATGAGAACTGCATCTTTCTGTGTGGATGCTTTGCACAAGGTGTAGTGATGGATAGCTTACAGCAGGGTAATTAGGAGAGAAGCTTGCTGCATGCTGGGTGTAACTGCTGGCCTGTGTGCTTGTTTTCCTGAGCAGGTTTTAGCTTCTTTCTAAAGAAAGAGAATAACACTGCATTGCTTTTAATGTAGGATATACAAAAAAAATACCTTTATGTTGCTGTTGTAACGTATTAATTTATATTCATTCATGTTCATTCATATTCATTGTGTCCATATGTATATATATTTAAAAAAAATAATAAATGGATATAAAACTATATTTCTCAAAGGCCTTTGTAAGACACATCCACAGTCTCTTTGAGTCTGTCTCTGTTTTGAGACATGATTGAGGGACATACTGGGGGTTTATTTTTAGCTCTTGTATTTGTTTGAATGCAGGTGAATCATGGCAGGTTCTTTTCTGTCAAGAAATTGAGTTTTTTGCATTTATTGATTTATGTTGTTTTACACCAGTGTCCTCAATATGGAGTTGTTTTTTAGGTGGCATTAGGAGGCTTCTGGGAATCTCACTGGTGGTTCTTCAGTGGTGAGGGATAATGCCAGGCAGTCTCGTAGTCAGACACCGGGACAATGTGAGGAGCAAGGTCTTGCAGAGCAAACTGTGACTGTCCTTTTGAACTGAATTTCAGGAGACATGTCTGAAAGTAAGGCCAAGAAGATTGAGATCAAAGACGTGGATGGGCAGACCCTGAGGAAGCTGATTGATTACATCTACACCGCTGAGATCGAGGTCACGGAGGAGAACGTGCAGGTGGGTCTGCTTCAGCTGCTCCTGTGGAGAGCCAAGTGGAAAGCTTGGAGCTCAAAGGCACAGGTTCTTCGGGGGTGAGGCATCTCCTCAGGCTGTGGAAAGTAAAAGGTTGAGCTTGAAAAGAGCTGCTTCCAGCCTCTGTTTAGTCTTGAGGCACTTTAGTGCTTTCCCCACGCTTAAGTCATGTTGCATTTAGATTTTGTGTGGAGCTGTTGTAACAAGAGCAGGCATCTGCCTTCCAAGAAGCTGTGCTGACTTGTGGGTCAGTCTGTCGAAGGTCAGAATAGACTCAAACAAGCAGTGAGTCAAATGGTTTAAGGCCATGGCAGAGGAATGTGGCTGTTAGTTTTTAAATTCTTCTGGGTAGTTTGTGTTGTTTCACAGAGCTTTGAGTGGAATACATTGTTCAAATGAGGACATTCTTCCTTTTTTTTTTTGTGTGTGTGCTCTGTCTTGAATTTCTGAGAGGTAAATATTTGCTCAAAAGTGGAAAGAGTAATTGAAAGGCTGCCTTCAAATAAAGCAGGGTGCTCAGGAAGAGTGTTTTGCGGTGTCACGTGGCTGTGGCTGCTGGTAAAGCTCTTTCTTAGACTCTGCTTGTATTTGTGGTAAGAAAAAGGCTCTGCACTTAGGCACTGATGTCTGGGAGGGATGCTGAGAGCTTGTGTGTGGACGTGCTTTTCAGTTGGTCTGGTTTTGCTTGCAAGTGGCAGTTTGAGCCTGTTCTCCTCACTTTGACTTGGACATTGCCAGGGGAGCAAGTCTGTGTCAGTGATGCTGGGGAGAGTTTTGCTGACCTAATTAGCACAGCAAAATTAGACTGGTTCTTCTTGAAATGGGGTTCTTGCTGTGAGCTCTTCTGCTCCAGCCCCTGAGGCAGAGTGCAGGTTCTTGCAGCCCTGTCCAAGAGCTTGGACAAACCCCTGAGCTGCTCCCACTTTGCAGTGCAGCCCTGCACCATCCTTTGTGACCCAAATCTGTGGGGGATTTTCTTGCCCCTTCTGCCCTCTGGTTTTACAAATGTGTCTGTTTGGTGTGCTCTCAGCCTGGCAGTGTCCCACTGGTAGGAGTGTAGAGCCTGGCTGCCCTGCAGTGAGGCTGAGAGCCATCAGTGAGGAGCCCTTCAAGGTGCATTATGGCAAAGGAGCTGAGACTCAAACCCAGCCCTGGGTGGCCTGGCCTGGCTGGCTGCTGTGTGACCCACAGCAGGGTCATCAGGAGCTGGCACAACATCACTCAGGGGGGGACTGGTATGGAGCTCCTTGCACCTCTGAGTTCTCCCATTGCTGGAGGAGAAATGACATTTACACACCCTCAGGCTGGTCCCTGTTTCTGTGGGGAATATGGAGACTGTATCCACGTGCTTTGTGAAAGGTGTGCTTTCCTTCCACGCTGCCGGGCTGGGTGCTCCAGAAGCTCCCACTTGGCTTGTGGGATGTGCAGTGCTTGGGATCCCATCTGCTGAGCCTGCCTTGGATGGGGCTTGGGCAGTGACCCCAGCTGCATTCTGGCTTTGGTGCTCCAGCTGCACCAAAAGGGGTGTGAGCAGTGCTGTGGGAGCTGTAGCAGCTCCATCCTGCCCAGAAGGTCTGTGAAACTCCAGGTGTTGCTTTTCCTGGGCTACTAGACAGCCATATTTTTTAGTAAAACATAACCAAAGCCTGCCTTCTGTGGCCTAGGGATTACAGGGAGTTAAAGCAGATCCCTGGCTACATTTTGGCTTTCATCTCTCAGACAGTAAGATAAAAAAATGTAAGTTTTGAATACTAAGTGTTTTTTCCCAATCTAGTAAAGCGGGTCCTTTTACTGCAGCATTTATTTCAATATCCACTCTGTATTAACTCTTCATGCTAGAGGTAAATTAATTCATAGGAGCTAAGAAATGAAGCTGATCTACTGCAAGATTAACTGACTAGTTTAAATTTTATTACATGTTTAAAGTGTTCATGATGAAAATGTTTCATGGAATTTAATATAAGTGTGTTATGAAACCAATAGAAAGAGAAGTTTTTATCCTGTCCCTGGGTGATTCACTCTGAACAAAATGCCATAAACAGGTTAATATTCACCTTTAGCCACAAGAAGAAAAGGTTACAGAAGTGAATATTCTGTAATTTATTGGAAAGTTTCACATGAAGTGAAGGCTAAAAACGAAAATGAAGCTTCTTTTGTAGTTTTTCATCAGCAGCGTCAGTGTTAGAAAGAAGTGAGCAGGTTTGGTCCCTTGCATCACCACATCCTCCTGCTGTACAGCTTTGGGTCATCCATCCATCCATCCATCCATCCATCCATCCATCCATCCATCCACCCATCCATGGAAGCACACCTCAGTAGTGCCTGTCTGTGCTGTGTCAGCAATGTTTTCTTGCAGCTCTGCTTGAGCACAGTGAGACTTTCTCTTTTCCCAGCAGGTATCTCCTGAGCTCTCCTGTTTCCTTGTCACATGTTCTGAATCTCTAGCTCGGCAAGGGTGCTTTTTTAAGGGAGTTCTTCAGACTTTCTCAGTAGCTGGAAGAAACAATTTCTGGGTACAGGTGCCAGGTAAAGTCACTGTAGAAATTATGAAAAGAAAAAATGTTGCTCAATGGCATTAACTGAGCAGATGCAACCAAGGTATCAGGACTTGTGAATAAATGAAAAGACATTGTCTTGTCAGTGAGAAAAATAAGATGAGAGCAGGATAGAAATGAGAAAAAGATGAACAGTAAAGGTAGCATGGAGTGCAGAATGAATGTTCCTAGGTTTGTTTGAATGCTGAGCAGTGCCCAGCCCTTCACAACAAGAAGCCTTTTAACGGCTTTTTTTGTTGTTTCTTTTCTAATAGAAACCTGTATTTTGTTTTGCTCTTATAGGCCTGGTATGGGCTCAGGAAGTGAGACTCTTTTTATAAGCACCTATTTCTGTAGCTGATTGTGCAATGAAGTGACACAGCGTCTTTTGTTTTGTTTTTTATGTAAGGATAGATACGTGCACCAGGGGCCAAGCCTGCATGGTCAGTTCCAGTCATCATCTCTGTAGTGAGTTCAGGGGGGTGGCCATCCAATTCCTTCTCAAGATTATGTCCCAAATGTGCAGGCAAAGGGAATTTTCAGCTCACCCTGAGCCCATGTGGAGGGAATACTCTCTTCTAACCCTGCTGGGGTGCATGGCTGAGAATTACCCCAACAAATGCAATCGTGCTTTATCTATCGGAACTTCATTCTTAGAGTGGGATTTCAAGGCAGTATAGGTGCAGCAGTAGGAGAGCTCAGGGATGATGGATGATAGGGAAATTTTACCTGTGAACACGTATTTGGGATTGAGCCTCCCACTTGTTTGGAAGGCATGGAGCAGAGACAGAATTTCTGTCTTTATTGCAGTCGTGTTGTAGTTTCAGGAAAATCCATCCTGGGATTTCTACACCTGCTGCCTTCTGTTGTTCCTCCTCTGTTGCATCCCACGTCAAGGTTGGTTGTAAATTTTGATATGCATGATATAAAGACCTCATTCATTTGAAGATGGAGCTTGATACATTTATTTAGAAGGAAGTCGTGTCATGCAGTTTCTGTAAAAGGAAGGAAAACTAAAGTGACTGTCTTGGGGAACTTCACAGAGGCTCAGGTTCCTGGGCTGATCTCAATGGAAATCATAAACACTATCAGAGCACAGGCTCTGCTGCTCCCTACATGTGTGGGGTAGCTTGCTTTTAACATATCAATTACCCGAATTTTTCAAATAGATCTTGATTTTGCAGCTGAAGTGGTTACACTGCTGCCTGCTTTCCAACTTTCATATCAAACCTGGTAGTTCAGTGATGGAGAAGCTCTGCATGATGTCCTTGAGCAGAGCTGAATGAAGAGATTTGGGAGCAGGCCCTTCCCTGTCCTAGGCAGTCCTGGGAAAACACCTGGACCTCTGGCTCTAGACAGTGAATCCAGTCGCTCCTTAGTGTGTCCCAACCAGCCTTACCTATGACACCTCATTACTAGCAGGCAGCCTGAGAAGTGCCCTCCCAATTAAGAAAGTCATTATGATTCAGGTTGTAATGATTCCCTGGAAAAAGTCCTGATGAACCTGGTTTCACAATTAAGTTGTTAGGAATGATGTGCCATGGACCACATGTGTGAGGTGTCCTTGTGTACTGCCACAGGTTGAGATATGGCTCATACACAGCGAACAAATCTGAAATCAGCTCTCTGGAGGAAGTAGATATTGAACCTGTCAGCTTTGCAGGCATAGTAATTTTCATAAAAAATGTCTCAAGAAAAGAGGAAAAAAGATGTGCTAGGAGCTGCAATATTTCTGTTTCAGAAGTGCTTCTGCACCTCAGCTTTCCCTGCACACTTAGGAGTTCACAGCAAGGAAAGAGAGTTCTCTGGCAAGTGCAGTCTTGATGATAAAGGGTTTATGAATGGGTCAGTCCATCTCTCTTCTCCCTATTCAGTTCAAAAGCTGCAGCTTTATTAGGTGCAAGCCCAGGGTGAGGCACAGCAATAAATTGAGGCTGTGTTCCTCCCTGGAGCCAAAGCTCCTGGCTGTGCATCTCCCTGTGGTCCAGGGGTCCCTGGTCCATTGCAAGGGTGACTCCTCTGGGCTGGGGGCCCTTCCTTAAACCCATAGGAGGTCTTTTAAATTGGCTCGTTCTTAGGCTGAGGAGAAACTTATGGATGTGACACCAGAGCACTGTGTTGTGCCTGATGCATGTCTTCACTTTTTTTATTTCGCTGTTTAACCAAGGGATGGTGTGTCTGAAGTTGGAGAAGGTAGCTCAGGAGGGAAGTTGCCAGTTGTTCCCCTGTTTTCTCTCTAATCTCTACATTCTTTGTCCATCTCCTGCTCCTGACAAGGTTTTTTGACTCCCTGGTGCTGTCACACCTTCCTCTGTCTGGGGTGTTTCACCTCAGGTGGAGCATTTAAGTGGAAGTACTGTTGTTCAGCCTACGTGCTGCCTGGGAGCAGCTGGGGTGTAATAAAGCCTGATTGTGCCCTTGCACTCAAAAGCCACATTATGCTAATGTCATTTTATCTCCACTATTTGTGCTGTTCATAGCAGCTTGTTTAAAACTGAGTATTTTACCTGCCTTGCAAGCACAAAATTCATTTGTTTCTCTGGTCACGGGTTCCCCTGGGCAGGTGCCTGCGAGCTGTCTCCCTGTTTGGGCAGATGTGCAGTCCAGCTGTGGCCCTGGGTGTGCAGCTGAGGCTTACAGCCAGTACTTTTATTTGGCTTCCAATTTGATCAAATTGTCAAAGCTGCTTATAAGCTTTAATACATCCCCTGCCTAGGGGAAATGCTCCTTTGCCAGTTTTGCAGAGCAGGAATGATGTAAGTTAACTTTTGGCCAAGGCTACCTGTAATGCTCTGTCACAGTAGGGAATTAACCCCAGCCTCTGCAGTCCAGCATTAATGAATGAACCTTATATATACAGAGCACGTTTGGCTGAAAGATGTTTCTAGTTTAGAGACATCAAAGGTCTATGGAAGTAATTGCCCGGGCAATGTTGTGTAAAACTTGAAATTTGTGTGGAGTCTGCAGAGCACAGCTGGTGAACTAGATGCTATATGTGTATATATATCTCCAGTCACACACCCCATAGATGAAGCTCTGGACATAAATTAAGCAAAGTAGTCAGTCTTAGTAGTAATAGCTGATAATTTTGACATAGTTTCAAAAAAATGAATGTGTTTTGATTTGGAGGCAGATCTGGTAGAGAAACCAGCTCTCATAAAATCATTCATGGCTGTTGAATTCAAATATTAAGAGCCAAATCCAGAGCCATGTGAGTAACTTGCCTGGATATTAATGGGGTTGCAGTTTGGTCCTGCTGCATGTTTAGGCAGGGCATTTCCTCTTGTTATTTCTAAAGGAAACAGACTTTGTTCTCACGGAAATCCTTTGCTTGCTTTTTGCCTTGCCTGGTAAAAACAAGATGAGTGTTGAGACATTCAGCTGGGAAGTAAGAAAGAGAAAATCCCCTCATCTCTTGATAGGCTTTTTATATCCTATTTCTGAGAAGTGCTGTGTGATAATGCCCCTTTCCTGAAGGCTGAAGTGCTGTAAGGCTCCTTCTGCACTCCTTCTCAAGGCAGCACAGGCCATGACAGCAGCACTGGTTTGTGCAGGGGCTGGTGCACGTGGGGATGGTGGTGAGTTCCTTTTGGTCTGGAGGCCACATCCCAGACACCAGAGGTGAGCAGCCCACCTGGACTGGCAGGGATGTGTCCTGGATGATGGGGGTGCACTGAGGAGGCTCTGGCTGGTCTGTAGCCAGAGATGGCTTGTATGGAGTCTGACTTGGCTACCCAAAGCCCTTATGTAGCTCAGGTGTTCAGAAATGGTTCAGCAAGAAAGAAAGTGGTTCACAGCCACGTTTCAAAATCCTAGAGCATTGCTATCTTGACTTAATCAAAGCCACAAACTAATCTGCTCCTGGCATCAAGAGGCTTGGGCCAAAACAGGCTCCTGGGTTAATTGACTTCTCTTTTTATTGTTGCCTGTTAGGGTGGCTGCTTGGCAGCAGTGAGCCACTCTACAGCTGGGCTGGAGTGGAACACAGCAGTTGCTTAGAAAGACCTGGAGCAGGCTGTGAGTGTCCTGCCCTGGTGTGAAATGGCACTGTGGTGGCAGGAACAGGGAGGGAGCATCTTTATCTCTTTGCTGCCATCGGGATTCAGGGAGGTGAATGCTGTTAACCTATTTGTTTTGTTTAACAGCTGCTTATTTTTTTTGAGTTGGCAATTACTTTCCGGAAATGTGTGCTCAGATGGTGAGCACAGATGCCCGGTTGGAAGGACATGTGTGAGGCAGCCAGAGCTGTGGAAAAGCTGGAATAAGACACGTCTGCAGTTGCTGTTGAACATAAGAAAGGAAGTAGCTGATGTCACGGGCTGTAATGTCCTGATGGATTTTGTTTTCTACTTCCTGTCCTTCTCACTGGCCTCAAAGGTGTTTTTTTTCCAGTAGATGTCACGTTCATCATCCATTTCTGTCTCCTTTTTCTATGCTTAGTTTTGGAGGTACAAAGCAGTACCTCATATTCAGATGCAGCCATGATCCACAAATGTCCCCAGCATTTTGTGTAAGTGCAAATGAGAGCTGCTGATCTGAATAGTTGGACCTGTCTTTCCCAAGAGCCTTGCTGTCACCAAAGCGTGCTTGAGCTTTTGGGAACCCCCTCTCTTACATGACTGCTTGGGGACCCTCCTCACAAGCCAATAAGGTTTTGTTGGAAGTAACAAAGTTCAGGGTTTTGAGGACTACTGGGCTGCTATGGGTTTTGAATCTGGTGGCAATGCTTATAAATAATATAAAGCCCTTTGGGGGAAGAAAAAAAAAAAATCTGTGTGCAGGACCTACCTGCAGCAAAGCTAGAAATTCAGGAGCATCTGTGGTTGCTTTTACCTTGTCCTCACTTTGCATTGAGGTCTTGTGGGGAGAAGCTGTGAGAAGAGTTCCACTTACAGCCCAGTGTAGGATAGCATTTTCATGTCTCAGAGCATGAACAGGGTATGAGTAGAGCTAAGACTTGAACCTTCCTTCTCATCACCCCACAGGGACATGTCCCTGTCTGGATGGGAATTGCCTCCAACCTGTGCAAGCTGTGAATCACCCCTCGTTACTCGCTTTCATTCCCCTCTCGTGCCTTTGCAGGTTTTGTTGCCAGCTGCCAGTCTATTGCAACTGATGGATGTTAGAAAAAACTGCTGTGACTTCCTGCAGTCCCAGCTGCACCCCACGAACTGCCTTGGCATCCGCGCCTTCGCCGACGTGCACGCCTGCAGCGAGCTGCTGCAGCAGGCCAACGCCTACGCAGGTGAGGAGGGGGTGAGAGGGGAGGGGGTCTGGCTCTGCAGCTCACCCTGCCTCCAGGCACAGCAGCTTGGAGTCCTGCTTGGTCTCTTCAGATTTCTGCTGTTCAAACAGGAAGGGAATGCTTTGTTTAGTTCAGTGGTGCTGCAGGTTGTGAAATGTGGTTTGGTCACAGGGGAGCACCTTAGGAGGTAAAAAAGGAGGAGTTTAGGAGGTAAAAAAGGCTGATCCTCTGGATCTCAGGCCACAATACAGTTCCTGAGTGTGATCCTAGCAAGCTCTTGGTGTGCCTGTTGAACAGCTCAGCGTTGGTGCTGGTGTTCTCCGCATGGACCCTGCCCTGGGAGAGCAGCAGGCACTGCTGGACGTTTCCACTGTGGGAATAAACAGCACTGAGCAAAGTTAAATCCTGGGGTGGGAGCTGGAGCACTCAGCTAAAATTGCCATGCAGTCTGAGGCTCTGATCTGTGCAGCAATGGCCCCTTACCCCAAGGGCTCATGTTTCTTTGGGAGTGGATGTGTTTGGTTGCAGTAAGTAGGTGCAGGCAATGGCTTTCAGCATTTCTCCTCTACATCATAAATGTAAAGCTTTTTCAGCCAGCCTCAAGCTCTGAATTGCCCAGCACTTTCCAGTCTCCTCCAGCAGAGTTGCTCTTGACCTCTGCTTGGGAGAAGCTGATAGTTTTCTCCCAGTTTGTTTTTCTGTTTTCTGATAATTTGTATAGGGACACATTCACCTGCTCTTTCCCAGAGCACCTGCTCTGTCCTGCAACATTTTCCTTTTTACAGTTTTGTCCTTAATTGGACCCTAAGTAGGCTCGGTGGAATAAAAATGTATCCATTGAGTCCTCCCCTATTCTCCTGCAAATAAAACTAAAACCTTTTCAGCTGCTCTGGCTGTATTATCCCCTGGAGAAAAAGGTACCCTGGAAGGAATGGTTAATTGTATAAAAGCTTGCTTGTAATATCTCATTATCCTTGTTTCCAGGCCCTGTTTAATCTTTAACCCAACAAGCAGTGCATTCACTGTATATTTATTTGGTTGTTTGGCAATTAGAAGGTCTGCTTTGTTGTTTTATTGGCCTTCGTAGGTCCCAGTTAGTACAGCAGCCCATGTAATGTTAATGGAACTCCATTAATAAAAATGCCATTAAAATTCTTTTCACTATGTTGTTTATGTAACAGCCTTAAACCAAGACAGAAGTCCCCAAGCTCAAGAGTCCATGCATGCATGAGCTCAGTTACTTGAGAAATGCTGAGTTCTGGCCAATGGATAACTTTAGTAGGTGAAGGAGCCTCCTTGATGCAGGCACCAGTTCCTTTATTAAAATCAGTAAATATTCTTCCTTGCTTCCAACTAATAATGAGAGATCAAATACCTTTCTGCTGCCAGATGCAAGTCCAGAATGAATGAATATGAGATTTTGCTCAGAAGTCAGAGTACATCCAGCTTATTATGTGGGGAGTGTTTCCTGCTTCTTAAATATTTGAGGCCTAAAGAGTTCATTAGAACATATGTATGTTTCCAGCATAACAGAGTATTATATTTTATCCACATTCTGCTATTTTTAATCAGAGCCTTTGGCTTAGCTGTGGGGTTTTGGTCCTCAGTAGAGCAAGGAGGGTCTGTGACTGGGGAGTCCAAGTCCAGAGTCCAACTCTACAGCAGCAGCTTTGGTGAGGGGTCTTTCAGGGGCTCCAAAAATCTCCTCTCTGGAAGTTATGCCAGCTCATGTCCCTTTGATGCTGCTTTTTGTCAGGCAAAGCACTTTGCAGATGTGAAAACTCGAGGCAGATCTTGCTGCAGAGAGCTTTTTGGATACAGGAGTCTGAGCTTCTCAAAGCTACAGAATTAGAACTTGAAAGAAGCTGCTTCAGATAAAGTGTCTGAGATTCATGTTTCTGTAATTCAGCCAAAGATAAATGGGACTTAGCAAGTGACAGGTGAGATTAAATTGGCAGTATATGTAAGAAATTCTTGCAAAACTAAAATTGCTGCAGATGGCTAATGACATATTTGACCTAGAAATTATTTTTTAGGAAGTGCTTATTTTGTGTGCCTTTTGGCTAGATATAAAGCTTGACAGATTTGATGATGCTCAGTCATAATTCTTCCAGTTTGGGGTTATATTCATGCTTTTTGTTTTCAAGTGTCTCCCAGAGTTACAGTATAGAGGGATCTGGAGGCAAAAAGGGAGAAATAGTAATATGTACAATTGTAGGCTTAAGTGGAAAGGGGAAAACTACTGGGGAGGTGGATGCTGTGGTGGCCAGGTTATTTACTGCTTTGTATATTGGCCCTTGTCTTAATTGCCACTTCTAACTGTATTTGCCACTGGAATAGTCTCAGTGGCTTTTCAGAAAGTTTAGTATCATTTATGAAAGTATTTCATGGGGCTGGTGCTGCTTGAAATAACATGAGGTTTCTTTATCCTGCTCTGGGGCTGGTTTCTGTCTGTGCTCCACTCACAGCTGCTGTGGGTCTGTCGTGGGTGCTCAGAGCTGTTCTCTCATGCTGTGGTCCTGCCACTGACTGAAAACATGGATTTCATTATAATTTTCTGTTCCCCCTTTTCGTTTGTTGAACAGAGCAGCACTTCCCTGAGGTGATGCTAGGAGAAGAATTTCTTAGCCTTAGTCTGGACCAGGTTTGCAGTTTAATATCAAGTGACAAGCTCACAGTCTCCTCTGAAGAAAAGGTACAGTAAATTGTATAGCAAGACTGAATGTAAGAATGCTGGAATGTTTCTAGTTCTTACACCAGGAACTGTTATCATGATATGCTCCTTAGGGGCCATTCTCCAACAGAGATCATGTGGAAAGGAAAATTAAAATAATGTGAATCCTAAAAGCACATAAAAATGACCTTCACTTGGTTGTTCTTTGCAGGAAGTTATGACTCTCAGATCCATATCACGCTAAAAGCCCTGGGGCTCAGAACCAACTACTTTCCCTCTCTGGAAAACTAAGAAACTCCCATCTGCTGTTGTGTAAAGCATTTAATACCTGCTGTAAAACCTCAAAAAAAAAAGTGAATTTCATTAGGCAGGGGAGGAATATTGGCTTCTGTTGCAGGCTGGCTAGAAAAACAAAAGGAAGCCCAGAACCAAAAGGAAGGAAGGAAGGAAGTATTTTTCTAGTATCTTCAGTGTTTTTAATAAAAAAAAGGGAAAAAGGCACTGGTTAATACTGTTTTTGTGTTGAAATGTTCAGCACATCTTGTGTAGTCTGGAGTCCTGGGGAGCAGGGTGAGCAGTGTTTATGGTGTTTGGTGAACTCCAGCTCCATTCTCTGGTCTGAGTTTCTTGTGTGAACTGCTGCAGGTTTCTGGGGACAGGCACGTGCCTCCAGTCCTTCAGCTCATCTCCAGATTGTCACTGTGGGGAGATTGTAAAGTCACAGAATCAGTGAGGTTAGAAAAGACATTTAAGATCATTGAGTTCAGCCACTAACACAGCACTGCCAGGTCTGCCACTAAACCATGTTCCTAAATGTAAATGGTCACTTGTGGGAGGCCACAGAAGAGCTTGAGGGTTGTGTGGTTTGTAACTTCAGGGCCCTTACTGGGTGTCTGCATTTGGGTGGGCTGGGGCTGGACATCCTCACATGTGCTCTTCTCCTGCTCAGCCCCTCTGGGCTGCACACACACAAGTGCTTGGGCCCAGAGGCACTGTAAAACTCTCCAGAAATCCTGCTCCATGTGAGGTGTGGGCTCAGGGGTGCTCCCTGCTGAGCCCATGAACTCGGAGCCTCCGGGCGCGTTCCCGCAGGCGTGGGGCTGCGAGGTGCCACTGGGGCAGGGCCAGCAAGGGAAACAGCAAATGGCACCAACTCACAGCAGAATCCCTCTGCCTGAGCCAAGCAGCCTGCAAAGGGAAGTGCAAGTTTAGTAACCAATTTTTTCCAGTCCTGTGAAGCATTGTTCAAAAGCTTTTATTGGCCTTGCGCCCAGGGGAATCAAAATGCTCCTTCCCTCATCTGAGCTTTACACAATCAAACCCAGTATTTCTTTAGCTGACTGTAAAAGAACTTGTAAAAGAAAAGATTGTTGAGAATGCAAGGCCGTGGAAGGAAATGTAAGCATAAGCTGCACGTTCAAAACAACAGACCTGAATAACAGGAGAAAGGCAGAAAATGGGAATGGAACATAAGCATGAAATGTGCTGGAGTTCAAAGAAGTGCTGGAAATTGAGGACAGACTCCTAGGCTGCTGTTTCATGTTAACTTCATGATAGACAAGCTGTTTTCCTCACTTTTATTCTTTCTATCTGCTAATGCTTGAGATAGATATTATAAAACAAACTATATGAAAGTATATATATGTGTATACCAGTCCTACATGCACACGTATATCTGTGTGTATGCATGTGCAAAATATTTCAGAAATCTGGCAGCTTAATTGTCACAGCCAGATTTCACAAGGAGCTTTCTTGTTCCTCTTCTTGCTGTGTCTCATACATGTTCTGTGCCTGTGAGCCAGAGCACTGCCATCCCTGGATCACTGAGAAGTGTTAGAGCCAAGTCCTGCCAAGATCAGGGAGGGAGAATTGCTCTTGGAATGCCTCAGGAATTTGTGTGTTCTCCCCTTCCTCTGCCACCCCGCAACTAATACCTATTGGCTTAATAAAATATATCCTTATCCACCAATTTTGGCTTATTTATACCCCTAGGCCATCAGGATGACAAAAATTCTCTGCTAGCACAGAAATCTATTTTAATTGTCAAGTAGTGACAGCATTTTCTCATCAGTCCAAGATTCTTCTCCTTTCTCTTCTGTCCCCCTTGTTGTACCAGCCTCTGCAGTTACACAGGCCCTTTCAGAACAGTGCAAAGGTTTGTTGTCCCTGCTTGCTCTTTTTGCTATAGCTGAGTACACTACAGTGGAAGACAGTTTTACTAATGTTTTCTGTACCTGACCTAATTGGATCTTTTTACTGTTTGCAAGGTAAAAAAACAATATAAAAATAATAATTATTTGTTATTTACTAAAGATGTATGAAGTGGGGGGACTGGAAAATGGTCTCCTGCCAACTCAGAACAGTGGCTAAAGAAATATTTTAGAGGGTTGGGATTTTTGGATTGGGGTTTCTATGCAGAGTCTGGTAATTGATTCATTGTCTCATGCTGCTGACATGCAGCAGAAGCTGATGCAAGGTTTGGCCCTCACTCTTGGGAGTCTCTAACAAATGGATTTTTGGCTGAAGAGACTGGGAAAACATCTGGGCTTGCTCCTTCCTTAGGCAGTATGCAGAGAGGAGATATTCCAGGCTTTTACCCTTCTCCTCCACAGAGTGGGAAATTTACTTCTCCCAAGCTCGGGAGTGCTCCTGCAGCCAGGCAGGTGCCAGCTGCTACTTCAGCTCTAAATCAAGCTGTGTGGGCAACTGCTTTGCCCATCCCACCCTGGCAGCAGGTCCTGCATGGCTGGAGGGTCGCGGGGGAGCGGCAGCAGCTGCTCGGGGTCTGCAGCGGGCACGGCAGGACTGGAAACAGATGTGGCCTTTAAATAGAGATATTGCTGTCTTGGATTAAAGCCTTTTTCCCTTCTCTGAAATTAGGAATCAGAGCCAATGGAAGGTGCCAGAATCTGATTTAAAAAAAAAAAAAAAAAGTTATTTTTAGAGTAGGCCCAGCAGGGAAGCATCAGTGCTGGCCTGACTCAGGAGTGGACGCCAGCACCGAGGAAGCAGCTTATTCCTAGTGCATATTCCTGTTGCCTTACCTTCCTTTAGACTTGTTCACTGTCCTCCTGACCTGTAGCTGGGTATGTCCCAGCCCTGTGACCTGTTCTGCAGCTCAGCCTTTGTGCAGAAGAGGTTAATGAAAAGCCTGTTTGTCGGCTAAACATTTGCTTTATCCTTCTTCCACACTCATTTGCAATTAAAAAAATCTCACAACCCAGTTTCTACTTTAAAAGCCTCATAGCCAAAGTTAAAATGTTTGTTTGCTTATTTATTTTAATTTAAAAATACTTAAAAGCTCTGCAGTATTTATTTTCCTCAGCATTTGCTGTGATTTGATTACACCACTCCCTGTTGGGTTGCTTAAATCCTCATTGCAGTGTCCTGAATTCCAAACAGTTCAGCAGGAACTTTGTTGGCACAGGAAATGAGGCTGGTGCTTTACTGCATTTTAAAAGTATATAGTTTAGCCTAAGAGGAAGAAACCCCTTTCTGCTCTGCATCTCCTTCATGGCAGGATGTGTCTGCCACAGCCTCCTGCAAGTACATTTACCAGCAACAACTGGGGACTGAAAGATGGTGCCCTCATTTTTGGTTGATTTTGTCAAATTAGTGACCTTGGACCAAACAAAATGGTTTCTTGGGGAGCGATGGGCAGGATGGAAAGAAAGAAATAATTATCTGTGCAAATTGGCCTGACCGTATGGTGACCCCAGAAGGAAGCTGAAACCAAGGGCGCTTGCCTGGCATGCTGGAGGGAAGGGCCAGGGATGCCTTTGGGGGAAGCATGGGACAGACAGGGTCTCTGCTCAGCCCCTGGGTAACTGGGCAGTGAGAGAGCTTGGGGAGTGTTGCCTGTAGATGTGCCTTATGTGTCAGAATTTAATTCTGTCTCTGTGGGGAAACTCCACTGCAGTGATCCAGATCCTGCTGTGCAGCATCCGAGACTGCATCAGCCCCTCTTCCTGCCTTGCTGGGTGTTCCAGGAAGCCTTTCCCACTCCCGGTGACATTTTTAGGCCTTTCTTTTGTGAGTGAGGCTCCCAGTTACATAAGCACATGCATATTCATACAGGAGCCCAGAGCGAAGGCTTCTGCTGCGCCTGTGCGTCGCCAGGGCTCTGCCGTGGGGCTGTTTGTGAGCACTTTGTCACGGACTCCAGCTCTGGATGCTTATCTCAACCAGCTGGATCTGGAAGTAAAACTAGATCTTGGTTCAGACCAGAAGCCCAGCGTGCCCTTGTTCCCCAGCTGGAGTATCTGAGTATTTTTAGCAGGGAAATGCAGGCAGTGCAGAGGCTCCATGGCTGCAGGCAGGGCTTGCCCTGTGTGTGGGGGGAACTTGTCCTCAAGACTTTTTGGTTTCTGGGGGCTGGTGGAACTGGTGTAGTGATTAAATATGAGCGTAGTGACTTTACTATGTGGCCAGGCTCCTGGAGGAGGGAGATCTCTGTTATCAGGAGTAATTGTTGTGGCTGATTTAATGAATAATGTCCAGTGCAAATGTCAGCAGGCTCATTAAGTTTCCTGGCTGCCTTCCAGTGCTAATGTCCAAGAAGTATATGATTGTTCTGGACATGTACTTAGCTCTGGGAGTGATACAGCACATCTAGATGTGAAGCTGCTTGTTAACATGCATGGTCAGCTCAGCTCTTTGCTACAGTGCTGCCTGTGCTCTGTGCAGTCACAGCTTTTTGATTTGATAGAGATCTTGCACCCCCTTCCTCTGATGCTCTAAAATCACTATGCTGCTGATTTTGGGTGGGTGACTCTGCAAGGAAGTTGTCTTTTCTCCATTTAATTGTACTTAATCTGTGTAGGTCTTTGAAGCAGTTATCTCTTGGATAAATTATGAGAAGGAATCTCGCTTAGAGCACATGGCTAAGCTGATGGAGCACGTTCGCCTGCCTCTTTTGCCCAGAGATTACCTGGTACAGGTTAGTCTGCAAAGAAATCATCAATACTTGCACTTAAGCTCTTGGTGGCTCCTTTATCAGTGGCTTGGCTGTTTGTGTCTGAGATGGGTAATTTGGTCTGTTGCTGAGTCTGTAAACGGATGAATAAAAACAAAAACTGAAATCAATGTGTGCTTCAGAAACCTTCCTGTAAATGGGACCCATGCTCTGCCAGGCAATGCAGAGAGCAGAGCTGCTGTCCCTGTAGGGGAAGCATTGATAAGTTAATGTCTTGTGATTTTTCACCCTGAAAATACTGAAGTGGTGGTGTTACAAGCTCGCGCAGCTTTTTTCTGTCATGCACAAGCAAAACATCATAATGGAAATATATAATGTATGATAATTTTGGTTTAAGACGTGTGCTGTGCATACATTTGGGTCTGTGTGGCTGGCAGGGAGGCACTCTCTGACTCAGTCTGACTTGGAGATTGTTCTTCATAAATTAATTCCTGGCATCTGGGCCTAGATAATAAGCTGAGAATTCCCAAAGAAGAGGTTGGCATTTGGGCTCCGTGACTGCTGTGCTTTTATCATATATCTAAAAAAGTCAATACAATTGGTATAAAATTGGTATTCATAAGATGAACCCATCATGGTTTTTCTTTTCTTTCATCTGTATCTTCTAATGGAATAAAAGATACTGCCTCTCTTTAAAAATTCTGACTCAGATAAAAGAAACCACTTACTGAGGTGAATTCTCCTCTGCTGCATCAAGTGTTTGGCAGAGGGTGATAAAACACTCACTTCTTGTGAGTGATCTTGGGAAAAAGTGAGAAGCTTGGATGTTGCTGCATGTGCTTCTTTGGGAAGAGCTGGAAGTCTGTGTTTGTCTCTTGCATTTTTTTTTAATGTTGGTACATTTGAAGGGAAATTCCAGGTTACATGTTCTTTCCACGAAGCTCCCTGTGACCTGTGCCAGTGTAAATGATCTTTGTTGTGTGTGCATGTTCTCAGACAGTCGAAGAAGAAGCTTTAATCAAGAATAACAACACCTGTAAAGACTTCCTTATTGAAGCCATGAAATATCATTTGCTTCCTCTGGATCAAAGGCAACTAATAAAGAATCCCAGGACAAAGCCAAGGACCCCCGTTAGCTTGCCAAAGGTAAGCTGAGCTTGTCACTTTGTGTCACCTCACGCCTGTGCCTGGTGGCATTTTCAGTCCTTTGACAGGAGATCCAGTGCTTGCCGTGTTACTTTTTACTGACTCAGTGGCTGTGCTTGGAAGTGTTTTACTCCCTCTTCTGGCATGGCCTATGCCCAGCAAGGAACATAATGAAGTTGAATAAGCTTAGATAAACCCTTAGGGGAAGGAGTATCTCTGCTCTTGTAATGTTTTGTGGCTGGTGGCTCGCTGAGCTGCGGAGTGGCTGCTGGAGAGCTGGCAGGGCTGGCTGAGGTTGCTGCTGCCTGGTAAGAGTGTCGTGGAGCCCTGCTGAGGAGGGTCACAGTAGGTGTCTCTTCCTTTCCTGTATCCATAATCAGAAGCCAGGAAAGCAGGAAACAGCAGCACCCAGCCCCGTGGGCAGGAAGTCTGAAGCGCATTTCAATAGACTCAAAGCAGCAACTGAATAAATAATCCTTGTTACTCCCCATGTTTATCCTGCAGGCCTGGGGTGCTCCAGCCACCACTTTATTAGTGAAGGAAAAAACCACCACAGGAGCTTTTCTCTGTGCCCCAGAGATGAACACAGTTTGGCACAATGTCTCTCAGCAGACTGCCACTGAAGGTGCTAGTAAGCATTTGGAGATTCCAGGACATCAAAACCACAGTGTGCTATTTTTCCAAGCACAAACAATAATGAGGTTGCTTTGTGGGAGGGTGTATGAGATCTGTGCTGTTTTTGATATTTGGATACTGGACTGTCCTTTGAGAAGTTGTGGTTTTGCAGCATGTGTCAGTGTCCTTTCTGCCCGCTGTTGCTGAGATGAAGTTGGTAGAGCTCAGCTTTGGAGGTATCATGAAGGGCTGACATGGCCCTTGTTCAAGGACTAAAGTAGTTAAGGATAAAAGGAACAGCAAATCAGTGAGTTCAGAGGTTCTCAACATTTTTATAGCATGACCTAGGAGTATAAACCCAAATCCTTCTGCAGGTCTTTCCTCCCTTCTTTTGAACTGTGAAGAAAGGGAAGGAGGTGATGATCTTTCAGCAATCCTGTTACTGAGGAACTTTCATCTGGCCTGTTGGTCCTGCTGATGAGGGATTATTGTCTGCTGTGGAATCCCTTAATTCTGTAATCGTGTGAAGCCCTGTGGCTTGCCATGGGAGACTGTTACACAACTAGTAGTCAGCCTGTTAATTTAGACTCAATTTGGTTCCTAATATAATGTTCTCATCTCTGTAGATCAAACAGGCCACTATTTCCATGCTCTTCAAATTCTTTAAATTGCTGTCTAGCTCTCTACTTTTAAAGCAACCCTGCTTGGGGTTGTTATCTGAGTGACCCAAGTGACAATCTTATCCCCTCAGCTACTCCCAGCTGCCTTGCAGAGCCTAAAGCCAGTTTTCCAACTACTCTGTATCTATATTTGAGGACCCATTATTTTGTTTCTAGCTCCTTGGCCTTGTAAAGATCAGATTGTCTTGGGTGATGTTTGTCCCACTGATTTGCTGTGATAAGGGGAGCAAATCCTCCCTCTTGCTGGCTGTGGAGGGTTGAATGAAATGTGTGCTGAACAAAGTGCAGGTCCAGCTGCTTGCCAGTGCAGGTGTTTTGGGGGCTGGCAGCCTGTGCAGGGGTTTGCAGTGCCCAGCTGGGGCTCAGAGCCAGGGCACCCTCGAGTGCAGAGCTGCAGGCTCCTGGCACCAATGTCCGTGGGGAATTTGTCTTCTGGCAGCAGATAGGGCAGATTTGGGAAGGACGACACTGCATGCTTCCCTGGTGAGAAGACCAGATATTCTGGTCTTCTCACTTCCCCACCAGTGCCCACCCCTTGCTGTTGGTGGTAGTGGAGTCTGGGGCTGGATGAACCTGAGCCAGCAGAGTGGTTCTTCCACTCCTGAAGTTGCCCTTGACCACCCTGACATAGCTCTTCCCTACCTGTAAGGAATTCACGGTTTAATTCCCGTATTTCCTTCAGTACCTGTGGCAGCCAAAAGCCTTAATGAAGCTGACAAATCACATCCTTCAGCAGCCCAGGCCCCCCAGGTCGTGGCAGTTCTGGTGATTTCCCTGAGTGTCGCCTTCCCCGCAGGTGGCACCGCAGCTGTCACGTTTTATTTGCTGAGTGGCATTGATTATTTTTAGCACCACCATGGAGATAACGACTAAACAGTGGGCTGCCAGTGGAAATTATGCTGGAATCTTCCTCACTTAAAAATACTTTTGCAGTGAGTCTTGGGAATGCTGTGGTGCCAAAAGGTTTTGTATTTCAAGGAGAAATTGGGCAAGTTGCCCACCTTGGACACGGTGAGGAAGGGTAAATGGGGTGGCCATATTTAGCATGCATTAAATTGGAGAGAAATTTTTCCCCCTTGAAATATAATTGCCTGAAATAAGTGTCCCTGCAGAGGCTTCTGGCTGGCCTTCAGCACATGTTTTGGCAGCTGCTCTTGATCGGGTTGTGGTGATGGTTTCTCTGCAGAGAGCAGCTGCCTGGGGTCATGTCTGAGGTTTTCTAGCTCTCCTCTTCCCTCTGCAGGTGATGATTGTGGTGGGTGGGCAAGCACCCAAAGCCATTCGCAGTGTGGAGTGCTATGATTTTGAGGAGGAGCGGTGGGATCAGGTTGCTGAGCTTCCCTCACGGAGATGCAGAGCAGGTAAAGGGAACTTTTGCTGCAACCTTCTTTGTTTCCCTAATGCTGCTCTTCAGCACTGGATGGATGTCCTTAGTCCTCCCTTTAGCTTCCTCTGTGCCCCTGGCCTCAAGCAGCACTTTCTTTTTGCCATGTCTTCTTCTTTCTCTGCAGACATCTTTCCCTTCTTGTTCAGGTGGATGTCCTGCTCTCTAATGGCACTCCTGCCTGTCAGCCCTCCCACTGTCTCCCTTCGTCATCTCTCTCTCCTGGCTGTTCCTCCATCAGTGTTTCCCCTCCTCCTCCCCTGTTGCTGTCTTGGCAGTCCACAGGGGTTCAGTTTTTCTTGCTGGTTTCCTAGTGAAAATCAAAGGAGCTGAGTCAGTCTCTCTTGGTGCGGAGGAGTGGGTGATGGAGAGCAGATCTTTAAGTTGCGAGTGTTCCTCTGAAAACATCTGACAGAGTTGTGAATGTGCCTCACCATTTGGTGTTCCCTCTGGCTCACAGAATTACTCATTCAGGTGTGAACTCCATCTGTGCCTTATGCTGCCATGTTTTCATGTACATTTCACCTCCCATATGACACATATGCTTTATCACGCTCGACTTCAACACTGTTAACCTGCCGAAAACACCAAAGCCTCGCCGTGTTCCGCTCTCCCCAGCCGCCTTTCACACCCTGGCCGGCCAGCACGATCTGGGCAGGTCCTGCTCTCTTCCCAGAGAGTTTGCTGTGACCCCTCTCCTCTTTCCTCAGGCGTGGTGTTCATGGCTGGCAATGTCTATGCCGTGGGGGGCTTTAATGGCTCGCTGCGGGTGCGCACGGTGGACGTGTACGACGGCGCCAAGGACCAGTGGACGTCCATCGCCAGCATGCAGGAGCGGCGCAGCACGCTGGGCGCCGCCGTGCTCAACGACCTCCTCTACGCCGTGGGCGGCTTTGATGGCAGCACTGGTACGTGGCTGGGCAAGCAGCAGGCAGTGCCTGACCTGACCGAAGTGCTTGCAGAGATTGCAGAGCTTTAGAGCGGTTCCTGCGCCCTTCCTCTAGGGTTCTGTGGAGAGGGAGCCGCAAATGGGGTTTGGTGTGTGTTGTAACTACCCACGTGCGTGTTCTGGCCTGTCAGTAATTGCAGAGAATCTCACCCTTATTATTTTCTTTCGGCCTCATTCTCTGCATGATTATGCTTTTTCAGGGCTGAAAAGGGATTTTTTTTCCTTGTTTCAGTTAAATTTTTCATAGCAGCATGAATAAAATACTAGCAAGGAATTTTACAGGGTGTGTGTGCCTGGGATTTATCTTGGCATAGCTGCGTGTTTAGATTCACACCTCTGCCTCTGCTGTAAAGCTCTGCCACTTGATTAAGCCCTGAACTAACTATTGAAGCAGGGTCTGGGGGAATTTTTAAACCCTTGCATGGATGTTTTGTAATGTTTGAAAGGATGTGGGGCTTTTGGGCTTGGAATTTGGACTCTGCTCACCTTGGTGGCCTAGCACATTGGAGAGGCAGCAGTCCAAGGGTGGGGGTCATGGGGTGACAGTTTTCCCAGCCACTGAAGAAGTGGCATTGACAGTCTGGTCCCAGCCTGAAAGTCAAGGGGTTAGGAAGTGGGATTGCAGGAGCATGGTGGGAATTACGGGCTTGGGAGGTGGTGGAAGGCAGATGAAAGTGCAACACCAATCTTTTTTTCTTCTCTTTTTTTTTAATTAGAAAACCTGTGTATCCCCTTTTTAACTAGGTCTGGCATCAGTTGAGGCCTATAGCTATAAAACCAATGAGTGGTTTTTTGTGGCTCCCATGAACACAAGAAGAAGCAGTGTTGGAGTTGGAGTTGTGGAGGGTAAGAAAATGAACAGCCATTTCCATCAAGCAAATGTTACTGTGTCAAATAGAAGCCTGAATGGTTAAGTGCAGTAGGAGGGAATGGCAAGAGCTATTCCCCACACCAGTTGGGAAAGATTGATTTTATATGACGTAATTGCTGCAACTTTTTCCATTCTCTTCTTTATCTCAGTGAAAAATCATGTGTAGCTTTCCAAGAGCCACAGACCTGTATCAGACTAGCCCATGCCTCCTGTGAATGCAATCAGGTGTATGCAGGTTTGTTTGAATCCAGATTCTCCTGGGCTGGTTCTGGCTGGTGAAAGCCAGCACTGCTGTGCTGCTGCTGCCGGCAGAGGCTGCGTGGATGGAATACCCATCACGGAAAATCTGCTCAGCCAGAGAAACAGGAGCAGAGTTTGTCCCACAGCCCCAAGCTGGTGGTTTGGCAGGAATACTAAAACCTGTGTTTATTGACATCAGGCAGAGCTCTGCTGAGGTTCCTGAATGAGCAGGGGCTGACGATAGCAAAGGCTGTGGCAGCTCAGTGAGGTGGGAGGCCTGGCAGGATGGTGGCAGCTGCTGGCACCTCTGGGTCAGCAACTTGAGGGAGCTGGAACTGAGCAGCTTGGTTTGGACTCAGGAGAATGAAAAGTTTAAGTAGGAACCATTTCTTCCTTTACAAAATCTATTCTGAAGTAAGTGAAAGGCTTTATTTGAACTTGTCTTTATTGTGGCATAGCACTTTCCTGTTAGTGCAATGCAGAGCAGCTTTGGCACAAGCCTTAATATAAACCATATAAACCATGCTTTACAGTGCTTTGGTTGGACCTGTTTGAGTGGGAAGTACATGGAATATGTTAGTGTACATGAAATCTGTTTATGTGAGAAGAACAAGGGAGATAAAGTCAGAATACGTAGTGGTCATTAACTTAAATTTGCATATTTAAGAAGCACCTCCTTCAAAATTGGCCCATGCTTGGGAAGTGCTGGGCTGCTGTCAGTCATTGGAATTTATTCAAATGGCTTGAATGCAGAAAAAGTATTAAATATGGACCTGAGAGATGCGTTTCTATGGACAGATTTTCTACTGAACACTCATGAAATCTTTTTCCTTTGATTTTTTTGAGAACACAAGTGTTGCATATGTTGGAGTCCATGATAAAAATAATGAGGACATGTGGTGGGCACAAGAACTGCTCATACTGGTGTAGAAAATAAACTGCAGCCTGCAGTTAATCCACAGGGTTCATCTGAATGTGACAAAAATTGATCTGATGATCAATTATATACTGAAAATACCTAATAATCCATGCCAGCGAGGGAAATTGATCTTGTCTTGCTTAGATTGGCATTCTTGCCTGATTCGCTGACAAACACCAGGCAGGACCAACAGCACAAATAAGAGTTTGAAATGTTACTAGAGACAGGAAGATGCAGAAGGAGGCCATGAGTGGGCCTGAGAGAGAAAGAAAAGAGCCAGCTTGTTCTTGGAATCTGCAAACATCCAGAAACAGGAGGATGCAAAAGCCTAAGGGTGAAGATAACTGCTGGTGGGAGTCTTGTGCATGCAAAGAATTGCACAGCTCATTCATGGCCAGGCTCTGCTGTCATCGATTGAGAATTGATACAATTTCTAGGTTTTGTACAAAAATTTAGGTTAGAATTTTCCTACATATTTGTTGGGCTTTTTTAATTGTTGGTCACTGTGGCATCTAGGAGACCTGGACTTGAACCAGAATGCCTTGTGCTGGCTGCTTTAGTAAGAAGAATCCTTCTCTGCCCAGAGAATTAACTGCCTAAATGCAAAACAAGCTGATAGATGATACAGGGAGACAAGGGGAGAGGACCAGTCAGGCCTGGGAACAGAGGACACAGTAGAGCATCAGCCCTGTTTCATGCATGGTGCAGTCCCATGATATCTGATTGTGCTTCTCTGGTCTCAGTAAGTGTGTGTCTATCAGCTTTCAGTGAGTTGAGGCAGGGAGGGCTGGATACCTCAGGAGACCCTCACACCACAGTGTGTCCTGTGCTGTCATCACTGGGCACGAGTGACCAGCTGGCCTCAGCTGGTCACAGCATCTCTGGGTTTCCATTTGGCCCAAGTTCTACAAAGCCGTGTCTGGGTTTCTTTGCAGGTATTATATTATTATAAGAAGCTATTTAGTATTTATTGCTCATGTGATGCTGTAGTTAATGGGCAGTGACAGCCTTTGACAGCATACCTGAATGGGGGGAACTGAACATGCCTTGATAATCCTTCTTCTCCTGGGCCAATAAGCAATTTGGAAAACCGTCTGTTGACTTCTGATGAAGCTGCTGTGGTGCATCCTCGTGCTGCTGACAGTTTAACAGCTTTACAAACAATCACTCCTGTGGCGAGTCCACTCCAGATGCCTTTGCTAGGCTTTTCCCCAGCCACCCAGCAGGTTAGGCATGTCCTGAGGCAGGGCCTGTCGCCAGGCTGTGGCTCTTGCTGAGCCTGGCTGTGTGTGTTGCAGGGAAGCTGTACGCCGTGGGCGGCTACGACGGCGCGTCGCGGCAGTGCCTGAGCACGGTGGAGCAGTACAACCCCGCCACCAACGAGTGGACCTACGTGGCTGACATGAGCACGCGGCGCAGCGGGGCAGGTACTGCTCAGCACGGGCACCACACCACCTGCTCTGCTCACACACAGGGAGGAAAAGTGGCATTTGCCATCGCTGGGCTTGCAAGTGCAACCTCTTGTGTGCCCCACTGCCCGTGAGGGGGAAAATTGTAATGGCTTGGAATCTCTCAGCAGCTCTCCCGGCTTTGACTAAACCTGCCAAACTGAGATTGATTTCTGGATTGATGAAATAATGGTCGGTGTCTCAAAGTAGCCCTGCTAGCAGATGCATCTCACTTGTAAGCCAGGAGTTCCCTTTCTAAATCTCCAGCTGCAGGCACAGGAAATCCAAGCTGCACCTCCCTGTCCCCTGTCATTGTAGGATTTCAGAGGAATTTTCATTTTGGATCTTCCTGCAAGCACCCAATGGGTGCTTTGCAATGCAAACTTCATCTGCACATTGGGTGATGTGTAGGATAACAAAATTCATCTCAGATTGTCCCTGCTTAGGTAGTTTTTAGTTGGTTTTTTGTTGGCGAGAGTTGGTGATCTGGAGGATTAGAGGAAAGGACCTGTTGTAAAACGATTGGATTCTAGTCTTGATGGTTTCTAATTTCCTACATGATCTTGGGCCAGGTAGCAATTTGTCTTCTCTGTGATTGTTCCTCTCTGAAAGGGAGAAGAGCTCTCATTCACTGCATGTAAAATCATCTTCAGGTGAATGGGAATTTGTCACTGTTGATCCTAATGCTCAGTGTGTGCTTCCCTGCTATTAAATTGTGCAGGTAGCCACAGGCAAGCCTGGGGGCTGCTCTTTGGGGCTGAAATGACCCTGCAGGTTAAGCTGTGGTGGGAGTTCCCTTTTGAGCTGGGCAGGTTGAGGCTGCTCCCTACACCCTGTCTCTCTCTCCTCACTCCAGTATATTTTCTGTAGCTCCAGGTGAGGTAAATATGGACACACTGTTGGTTTGAGTTCTGTTGAAGAGGTTTGTAGTATCTGCTTGATGCTTAAACCTAGTCTGGTGCAGCCTTCCAGGAGAGCAGAATGAGTGTCTCCTATTGTTGGCAGTGTGCTGAAACAGCAAGAATTTTGTGGCTGTAGTGAAATGGATTTTAGTGAGTTGTCTTTGTTGGAAACACTCTGCTCTGAGTGCTGCTTTACAAGTGTTTCTCCACGTAGCAAGTCCTTTGTTAGGAATGCTCATACTCCTCTGCCAAACTTCTTTGCAGTTTTCTGTTCCCCACCTGAAAGCTGAGCTCCTCACACTCTGGTGATCCCACAGAGGCCCCTGCAGCAGGGACTGGAGGGGACTGCCCAGTGCCACCAGCAGTGCTGCAGCACATTCTGCTGTACACTCCAGCAATGACACCGTGCTCTGCGCTGCCATCCCCGTGCTGACATCTAGTGGGGCTGGGGACAGCTGTCCCCAAGTCTCTGCAGGCACTGAGGCTGTGGGGATGTGCAGGGGCTGCCCAGGTTTTATAGAATCATACATTTTTTTAGATTGGAAAAGACCTTCAAGATAATTAGGTACCACTGTTAACCCAGCACTGCCCTGTTCTCTGCTAAACCATGTCCCCAGGTGCCACATCTGCACATTTTTTGAACACTCCCAGGGTTTGCTGAAGTAGTTCACTTCCCCTGCTGGCAGGGGTGTCCTGTCCCTGCATGCCCTGTTCTCACTGCACAAGGAGGCAGTTTCATGTGAAAAATCTTGAGTGTTTCCGACTCTTTTACTCTCTTACTTGCTAAATTAATTTACTCATTAAATTATTTCTTACAAGTATAAAATTTCCACTAACAGCTGAATATAGTCAAATACCAAGGTGCTGCACAGCCAGGCTGCTGGGCTCAGATGCAGTTAAGTGACTTTCCATTTCCCAGTGACCTGGGAGACACCTGCTACAGCTCAGGAGCCAGGACACACATGTGGATGTGTTTTGCTCTTCCCGAGTCCTGCATGCTGGAGTACTTCAACCACACCAAGGATGTGGCCCAGTAAGGTGGATATTTATGGCAGTTAGAGATTAATTGTACATTTGCCAGAGGTGACCCATGAGTCCCAATGTCATATCAGGATTTCAGCACTTGGTACAGTGAGAGATGGCTGGTCAAAACCAAACCCAGCAGTAGCAAGCTAAGGTAATTTGGAGAGGGGAGGGGTGACATGGTAGATCTATGTACCTGTGCCCAGATGGGGATGCTCCTGATGGAGCAGCTGAGCCTGGGTGGTGCCTGTTCTCTGGCTCAGCAGCTGTTCCTGCCCTCTCCTTTCCTGACCAGGAGAGATTCTTGCACAGGGACCAAGTCAAAAACCTGTTGCTGTCAGGCTGGCAGGGCCCCTCTCGTCCCTGCATACTGGTTAATGTCCATGGTTGAAATAATGTGATTCAGATCTGTTTCTGTTTTACTAACATCCCACCTTGTTAATTTTAATAGAGGCCTTTGAACCTATTAACGAAGATATGTTGCTGGAAGTTTTAACTCTCACGGATTGGTGAACATTTTAATTAACTAATTTACTTAATATTAGGCAGAAGTAGCTTTAAGATCCCTGTTATTCCCAGAGATTTGGCCAGGGGCCTTCAAAAATGGCTTTGAAGATGGCATTGGAGGCACCTTGTCTGTGCCAAGTGCTGCCAGGTTTTGGGGTGGGAGTGGGAGGAGAGGAATCAAGTGGCAGGTTCAGGAGCTGTAAGTTGTTGAGGAGAGGAGCATCATCCAAGGGATGAAGTCATGTGGCACAATGAAAAACATTTTCCTGTGGCAGCAGGAAAAACAAAAGTCAAAGTCCTGAAAGGGGGAATCAGGCTAAAAGCAGAGGGTCCCATGGCAGAAAATATCAGGCAGAGGGAAACAAGGTGGGGTGGGAGGCAGAGAGCAAGTGAGTGCAAAGAGATGGAATAAAGGCAGAGGAATGTCATGGGACTAGACTGCTGGTCTTGGATAGCCTGACAGCTTCCTAAGAGGGGACATCTGGCAGGCATTGCTGTGCAGGTTGCTGTAGTGCCACGGGGTGGGTGGGGGCAGAGCTGACCATGTGCCTGCTGATCTTGATGCACATGTGGCCCATGTTTTTGGAAGTGCCTTGGAGAGGCCAAGGCCATGCCCAGTAGCAGAACCAGGGATGTGCAGCCCTGTCCCTGTGCTGTGGCTGACCTGGCTGTGCTTGGCAGGTGTTGGTGTGCTCAGTGGGCTGCTCTACGCCACCGGGGGCCATGACGGGCCCTTGGTGAGGAAGAGTGTGGAAGTCTACGACCCAGGGACAAACACCTGGAAACAAGTAGCAGACATGAATATGTGTAGAAGAAATGCAGGTAACCATGATAAGCCTTTCTGTGGTGGTTGGCTCTCTTGTCTATGTGTGGTTTTTAATGCATTTGGTGTGCTCGTGGTGTGTGTGATCAGTGTTGTAAAAGATAAAAATGGGAGTTGAGGGATCTGCTTGGGGGTGAATTGGAATGTGGCAGCAGCGTGCTGTGGGGGATGAGCTAGCCCATGTCTCACCATCTGTGCTCTGCTTTGAGGTGTGTGTGCTGTGAATGGTCTCCTCTACGTGGTGGGAGGTGATGATGGTTCCTGCAATTTGGCCTCAGTGGAGTACTACAACCCCAGCACAGACAAGTGGACCTTGTTGCCAACCAGCATGAGCACAGGGAGGAGTTATGCAGGTAAACAGGCAGTGGGAGAGTGGGCGGCAGTGGAGTCATCCCTAAACCTGAGGGCTGTGCTCCCTGAAGCTTTAATTTTGCTTTTTTGGTATGTTTTATGTTGATTTCAGTAGGAGAAACTTTCACAGAAGTGGTAGACATCTCCCTCGTTGCTGGCCTTCGGCTTTGCAGAATGATTGTAGCCACGTGGCAACCCAGGAGCTGCTCCTACATAACTGTGTCTGTCTGTTCTTACAACAGGTGTGGCTGTGATTCACAAACCCTTGTGACACACGATCAAGCCAATGTGAGGAGCAGAAGTGAAGTGGATCCAGCTAGGTGGTGTTGGGAAGATGACTGACCTCTGACTTGACCCATCTCATTGCTGTTAATGTCTTAGCATGACAAGTGATACGTTGCCAGCATCATCCACTCTGCAGTGGATTGCATAGCCAAGTGAAAATCCCTCTGGGGACGTGTTCCATGCTAGACACGAGGTGTTGCTTGTTATCTGTGGTGCAATCAGCTGTTCTTCTCGATGGCATGTGTCCTGAGATAAACACTGTGCTTGGACTGCAGGCACGGGATTTTTTGTGTGAAACAAAACTGCTACGTTTGGGCATGTGAGTAAAAATGAAAGTTTCTGGATTTCTTCCCTACTGATGCTCCGTGCACATTGTTGGTTGAACTACTTACTCACTGTGCCTGGAGGGTGGACTTTATACTGGCAGGGGAAACTTCTGAGTTCCAACAGATAAAAACAGCAGAAATGGACTGGAACAGGGTGGTCTGGCTCGAGTGTGACGCTGTCTCAGCCATACGTTTGTACATGCCACTGGACTGCTGTATGTATCCCTGAAATGCTTGTGGAAATAAACACCATGTGGTTTTTCTACTTGCCATGAATGCTGTGTGCTGTGCGTGACGGGACCTGCTGGGCAGTGCCTTCCCTGGGGCTGAGCTCTGCACCTGAGCCACACAAACCTTCCCAGCCCCACACAACACATGCTGCTCCCACGGGGTTTATTGCTCCTGTGAAACAAATGTTGCTTGAATAGAAAATGTTCCCAACCCACACTTTTCAGCTGTGCTGAAAGCTTCAGTTCTAGCTCTGTCCAGCATCTCAATGCCATTTCATAATAGAGCATTTAGATGTTAAAAAAAACCTTATGGTGCCATTAATGTAGAGACATTCCATACAGCAAGAGCCCTCTGTCACCCAAGCAGGGATTAATGAGCCAAGTAAAATACCTGCAGTGTTTTAATGCTTCCAGAGCAGGGAGAATAACTAATCACTGTCACTGTAATTGCTATTTTAGTCTTGCCCTTACTGAAAGCATTCCTTTATTAGTATGAAGGACTCATAAGATTATTCAAAACAGACAAATCTAGATCCAGATGTAAGGGACCTGTCTTGCTTATATACCAAATTCTTAAAGTTTTCTTTTTAAGAAGACATTTGACTTTAAAATACCTCTTTGTATCTCCCTATGAGTTCTGACATGCTTCTGCATACAGAGGTGAGCTCCCAGAAGCTCCCCAGCTAAAGGGAACTAGTGAAGAAAAATATTTTCTCTACTCTTTTTCTTCTTGTTTGGGGTTTTTTTTTTTTTTTTTTTTTTTTTTTTTTTTTTTTTTCTTTGTTTGTTTGTTTTGTTTTGTTTTCCCTTGTAGATCAGCTGAGGCTTTTTGTTGTGGGCAGCTGTCCAGAGTTGTAATGCTGGTTTCTGTCTCCATAGATCTGCTCTGTGTGACCTTCGACAGTAGAACAGAAAAATACATAAAAATGTATTTCAGAGGGATCTAAGCTGCATCACCTTGTGCTGCTTTTGTAGAGGAGTGGGTTTCTCCTATAAATTTGTGTTCTTTGATGTTTGAGTTGACACAGTCCTTGTGAGATGGGTGCCTGTGTTGTGTCACTGCCCTGCAGAGGGGCTGGCATTCCCTTCATGGGGAACGTGAGGTCGCTCCCACTCCTCTTGGGATGTTCTTGCTTTCACAAACAAGGGCAAACTGTCTAAAGAAAGGGCATTACTGCTCTTTTTGTCTACCCTTCCACAGTATGTGAGCTCAGAGGTCTTGAAAATAGTAATTAAAAAAAAATTAGTCTTTTCCATAATACCCTTTAAACCTTTTGCTTTGAGTTTTACAATCTGCAGGGAAACGTGCCAAAATCATAGTGTGACATGCTGCTCTGCTGTGAGGTGTTGCTTACTGTAAAAGCCATTGAGGCTGGCAGGAATGTACCCTGGCAGGAATGTACATCCCAAGAGGAATGTACCCCAGTAGGAATGTATCCCAGTAGGAATGTTTCCCTGACTGCAGCTGCTTTTGGATCAGAGTCCTGAGATGCACCTTTATGGTGGCATAAGGAAGGTGATGAGGGCTCAGCTGGGACAGACTCAAATTCATCCCTTCCATGCAGCCTGGGAATAAAGGATAACATGGGACAGACAAAGCATTGCAATCCAAGGTAGCACCTGTTGTTAGGCAGAGGTGACTGCACGAGGCTGGACAAGCATTTGGGCACACGTGGCCCTTGTTAGGTCTGGTACAGACATAAAGCTAAATAAACTCCTCTGTAAGCTACTGTACAGCCCAGCTGCAGCTCAACAGTTGGAAAGAGTTTCCAGCCAACATTCTCACACCTCTGGCTTCAGTGGAGTAAAAGCAAATATTAGCCAGAGACTATGAGTTTATATGGGCTGGAGATAAAAATTGGTAGTACTGCTAGAGAGGTGCAAGGTTGCAATTTGCTGTGTTTTTCAGGTGGGAAATGTGGGTATACCTGGAGGTGGGATAATTTTTTCCCTGCTATCCATCTGTTCATAAGTCTTTCTTGCTCGTAAGGAAAACAAGTTTTGGTGGTTCCCTGCTCTTGTAAAATGGCACTTCTGCCCAGTGCTGGCCCAGAGCTGTGGCATGCTGGACAGGGCCAGGACTCACAGCCCTTGCCAGGGACTGATGCTGCTCCCAGCTCAGCCAGGGCTCCTCGGTGTGTTTCCTCCCTTCCCTCCCAAACGTTGCAGTGTTATGCAAGTCAAGTGACCTCGTTTTCCAGCTATGCAATACAAACAACACGTGATGAACCAGCTGTGCCCCCCCCCATCCCCAAAATGCTCTTGGAATTTGTCTTTGATGTGTGGTTTCGTGTTTGTATTGTTCATTTTGAGCACCTGAGCCAGATCCTTTACAGATTGCCTTTTTCTAGGACTGAAAACATAGCATTAGTACTAACAAATTTTATTGTAAATATTTTTATAAGACAATTTAAAATAATTTTTGGATTGCTTTTTATGGTCTTCAATGACATTTCTCGATCTAATTTGTGCACTCCAGTGTGGTTTTTGCTGGCTGTGGTGTAGGTGTGATTCTGTATGTTCTCTGCACAAGAAATGCCATGTTGTAAGAAAGATCTGGGATAGCTGTTGTGTTGGTTTTAATGTTAGAAGGACAGCATTGGGCTCCACGTTGTGAGATAAATTCAAACCCATTACCTCAGCCACCAGTAGCTGTTAGATTATTGGTTATTTTACAATGATTCCAATACCCTGATTTAATTTCCTTGTGCCATGAGTTTGGTTCCTGGGTAGTTTGGGGGACAAGCTGTCACTTGGTGGTTCTGTTTCTTGGCTCCTGCATGAGCTGCTTGAAGACAGAGATACTCTGCCCACAACAGTCTGGGCACAAACCCCCAGGATGCCAAAATCAGACAAATTATTGCAGGAGTTTTAGTAAAAGCTTTACAGACCAAACTTGGACCTCTTCCTTGTGTTCATCCTTTGAGAATATGAGCACGTTCCTCAGCTCCTTCTGTTGTAATCTCTTTTTGGGGTCTCCCTGTGGGACTCTGGCCCTGGGTTTCCTAAAGGGGGCTTTGCTCCTGCAGAAAATCACCCCAGGATGAGCCCCAGCCCCAAGAGCATCATGTGTGGTGCACACCCTCCTGGGCTTGCAGTGCAGATTTGTCTCAAGCAAGCTGTTGTTTAAACAAGTCTGAATGAAGTCTATCTTTTCCATTGGTCCCTAATAGATAAATTGGGGGTGTTTAAAATAAATTTTCAGTTCATTCAGTTTATCCAAACGGCGTCTTTTTATGGATGTGTACAACAAGTAATTACCATAAATACACTTGGCAGCTTTTGCATGTCACCACCATCAAAGCTCTTCTCTGGTTTACATTGTTTGGAGACCAAAATCCTTAATATCCAGCAAGGTGTGGTGCCTGTTCCTCAACCAGTGTGATGGCTCAACAGATAAATGCTGTTCACCAAGCTACTGTGATGGCTCAACAGATGAATGCAGCTTGGTCTCAACCTTTGGGATTCATTATTCATATACTATCAAAGCAGTTGCCCCCTTTGCCCACATCATGCCCAATAATCACTTTCATGTGAGCATTGTTGCTCAAAGCTGCAGTGTTTGGGAGTGTGCTACACATTATGGTCTGAATATGGGCTCATTCACTTTTTTCATCTGCCCTTATCTTTGTTTATGGGTTTATAAATTATTTTCTTCTACAGTGACAATGAATAAATAAATAAATATTGATAATTTTAATTTGTATATTTTATGTATAAAGACCCTCTAGGGTAATGAATGATTGTGAAATTATTTACTTGAGTGTGAAAATTTTTGGTTTTGTAAACCAGAGTACTTTGGTTCAGTAGGTGACAGTATACTCTAACAAGTTGGTTGACTGTTTAAGCTCATTTTTTAAATTAAAGATTTTTTTTGCATGAGTGTGGAGGACAAAGGACTTTGCAAAGTAACTCTCTTGATAGCTGTCTTGTCCAGTGCGACGAACAACTCAAGAAACATTCTTCACTGACATATTTATGTTATGAAAGAAAATCACACTGTAGTTCCCCATCATTTAATTTGAATAAAAACTGGACTAATGAAACTTTTCTGGGTCTGTTTTGACTTTGTTGGCTTCTGACAACAAGGAAGAATCTCATCACTCCCCATGGCTTTATTTGTCCCCTCTTTAATTACAGCAGGTACCAGCCCTGGGGTCACTGCCCTTTGCTGTGGGGTGTGGCACTCGTGCTGATGCTGAGATGCTGCTCTGATGCCAAGCTCTGATGCTGTCCCAGACTCTGCTCTGCTCCTTTTCCAAGGGAAGTTAAAAGCATTTCTCTTGGGGGTGGGGAAGCCCTTGGTTCAGGGCATGGTTGGCAGAAGACAGAACCTTTCAGGGGATGCAGCTGGGAGGAGAGAAAACACACAAAAAAAGAGACTTTAGCTCCTAGGGCTCAATATTTCTTAATAACACCATAAAGTAACACATTAGCCAAGCCACCCAACTCATTTTGCCTTATGCTCACAAAACATCTCACTGAGCTCTTTGGTTTTCCAGAAATGCTCCTTGTGCCTCCCTCATCTGTTAATATCGATGTACAACATCCAATTTACCATCCTGGGATCCTGAAATTTAATTACCTGATACACAGATAATGAATGACATACTGTGGGTTGCTCTATGCAGCTGGGGGACTTTGCAATTACTCCTGATTTCATTTCAAAATGACTTTTGTGCAGCTGGCTCCTTTTTATTCATGTTTAAACTGATAAATCTATGAATCTATGGACCTGCAGTTAAAGAAAAGCCTTGGCAATCCAGAAATCTCACTACCTTGATTTTTCTGCTTGATCTTCTTTTCTGTTATTATTGTTTATTTTTGCATCTTTCATTTTCACCTTTGGGCATGTTTTCCACCCTACATTTCACCTTTGACAGGGCAGAAACTGTACAGCAGTAGCTGCCACCATGCCTCATTCACCTCAGAAGGGTCAAGGTTAGGGTTTTGCAGTGAGGAAAGGGAAAGCAGAGAGGAAAGGAAAGAAAATGGGGGGAAACTCACCTGGGGGTTACAAGGTCAGAAAAGCAGC